AATAGCGGTAAAACCGCTTTCAAAAATGACTTCATTAATTATGGTTAAAAAACCATTTAAAAGGAAGGATCTACGATAGTGGTGAAACCACTGTTAAAAGAATTTTACACGTTAAATATACGGTAAAACCGTTTTCGAAAAGTACGTTAACTAATGGTGAAACCATTATGTCAAAAATCTAATCCGCATTCAAAAAATACTACGTGGTATAGACCACTTTCTTTTAGCGGTGAAATCGCTTTCGCAATGAAGGAAGAAGTGAAGAACTCGGGCAGCGCGCTCTGCTTTTATGCCGGAGCCAGTGATCCGTGATTGGCTGGCGCGTTGGGCTTGCGCACTCGCTCGCCTTCCCCACTACCGAGAGTCTCGGGACTCACGTGGTCGCGAACGTGTACTACATGGCGTATTCGATCCGTCGGTAATGTAAATTATCGACTTTAGACAATTTACACGATATTCGATCGATAATTTTTAAACTTTCATTACAAAAGATTCTCCTTTTATAGCCTTTGGTAAATTTTTTTTTTAATTTTGCCATTTTTTTTTTTTTTTTTGTTCCGAAAGTCAAAAATAGGAAAGTTTGAAAAATTTACATTATCGACGTATATGAATGTATTTTAATTAAAATTTAATTTGTGATTTTATTATCATTAACTTATTGGACAGAGAATGAAGGAGAGAGAGAGAGGGGGGGATCTAATTGATTTTAATAATTCGAGATGGATTAACGAAGGAATATTGGCTTTCTGTGAATCCAAATGGTTTCGAATAGACGAGTGCGCGCGCGAGCTGTAATTAGAAATACTATCAATATTGGTGCATTGTCAGTGAGCGCATGGTTTCATTGGTCACCGGTTGCAGTAATACGTGTAATTATGCAAAACATAATTGCAATCTGTCGATAACGTGATCTGCTTGACGCAATATCGACAAGGACCCACAATGAAATTGTTGACGATGTTCGACCTGACCTTTTTTTTTATTCATATAATAAAATATAAAAAAAGAAAGTTTAATAATAATAATGTTATTTAAAAATTAATTTAAAAAAAAATTTTTAAATTCCTTTTCTAATTATCATAAAACGATTTTTTTTTTTTATTTCTCAATATATTTATATTCTCTACATAAAAACTTTCACCTTGTCTTGATAATAATAATTACCTTCTGTTGTAACTTTTTTTTTTTTTTTAAATTAATTTTGTACCTTTTAAAAATTTTTCTTTAACTTAAATATATTATTTTTCAATTAGTTTTTTAACTTAAAAAATTATACAATAATTATAATATTTATAGTCATTTTATTTTTAACTTCAATAATAAAAATTTAACATTTATAAAAGTCAGAGCTTGGGAAAAATATGACATATTAATTGCATTAAGTGCACTGAATACCATATATATGAGCAAAAATGTAGATTTTTTAACTAAAAAATTTTAAGTTAATTTGTTTTTAATTAATTTAACTTTTAATCAATTTTATTCACACCAACGCATTGTAAAATTTTATTCATTTTCAAAAAGCGAGAGAGGGAGAGAAAAGGGGGGGATTATAACAATTTTTTTTATTATGACACTCGATTTTGAAGTGTACTTTATTTTATTTATTTTTTAATAAAAAAAAGAACGATGAAAGTAAAAATGTATTAAAACATTTATTATGTTTACAATGCTTTTAACTTTGATCGTTATTTTTTTGTTAGGTATATAAAAATTTTTAACAAAAATTGAATTAAAATGAAATCTGTGGAGTTGAACGTTCAACGTATTACACTCATAGATCAATTTAACTGTAAACATTTTTCACTTTTAATCTTTGTTCATAAAACTATAGCTACGGGAAAATATTTTTACTTGATTAATAATTCAACTCGCGAATTTTTCAGATGAATCGTGAAACAATATCGAATGTGTTCTCTAAAAAAAAAAAAATTCTCTTTTTCAATTTTTTATTTTGTTTTTTATTTTTTATATAAATTAACAAATATTCGATACAGTGTTTTTTATTATTTTTTTATTTTCTTAATTTCTGGTTATTTTAATTGATATTGAAATTTTTATATTGTTTTTAATTTAATTAATTAATTGTTATTTATTTCTATTTTGTACTTTTGTTGAAATTTTATTCCTCTCAAATTAAGAGGATTTTCTCTTTTTAATATTAATTAATTAATAATTAATCGAAGAAAAAAATGATCAAAAATCACGAATTTCTTTAGAAGTTTTACAAAAATATAGAAAAAATACTTTTTATTCGAAATTATTTTCGACTAAAAGGAAGTCTTTATAATACGACAATTATATATGTTAATTATTTCACAATGAAAAAAAACAAACATAATTCTAAATAACAGAAATCTAGTTAATTTATTTCTCAATTTAAACAGTTTAATTAGAATAATTTTTCATAATAATGAATAGGAAGTATTTTAATTAATTAATATTGTTTAATAATAACATATACTTAATTGCACCCAATCAGCATTTAATTATCGTTCGTTTGAAATTTCTATTATTTATTTTTAAATTCTCTTATTTATTTTTTTTTTTTTAATAACATACAAAATGACTAAATATTAATTAATATTATTGCCAATCATTTCATTATAATTATCGTAAAATTTCTCAAATAAATTAATTGAGTAATATATTATTTAGTTGTATTAATTTATTTTGAAATAACTGCATTTACATATAATAAAAAAAATAATAAATAAAATAAAAAAATTTTTTTAAAAATATATTGAATGATATGTGAGAATTTTTTTTATACTGAAAATTAAAGAAAAGATACACTTTTGTTAGATTGGCCTAATTACTGTATGCAATTGAATTTGAATTCAATATCAAATTACACTCTTTCGATTGGACTTTTTCGACTGATTGATGTTGAATGTGAAAACGAAGAGCAATTATTATGTGCATATGCAGCCAACTGTATAGTGTTTTTTGTTCATTAATGAAAAAAAAGAAATTTTTTTTTTTTTTTAGTAAAACTATATTTAAACTGTCAATATTTGGCAATTTATTGATGTACCCATGATTGAGCCTATATTCAGCCAAGTTTGGTTGAAGTGCAATTGATTAATTTATAATCAAATATCGATATGCCAATTAATGATCCAATTCGAGCTTTAATTTGTTTCATTGAGAATGAAATTGATTGAATAAAATTGTCACCCATGATTGGCCCAATATTCACCCAAGATTGACGATTAATAGTATCGATATGTCAATTACTAACACTATATAATCAGTTTAGTAACAGTGTCATTTAAGAATAATTTAATAGACGAGTTGCAAAACTGGCTGCCAAGTTTCGCCCAATATTGACCGAATTTTTGATGCCAATTCGATTTTTAGTTACCTTTAGACAAATATTGGATTATTATTGGCATATCGATATCAATTTGCAGCTTTGGTTACTAAACACGGGTGAATATTGGCTTAATCATGGTTTATTATTATTTAAGGAATTATAAATTTAGTGAGCAGCCTTAAAATATTAAATCATTATTAAGTGCGAATTTGAAAATCAATTAAATAAAATTTCAAATCAATTAAATGCAATTTCAAATTATCAAACTAGGCTGTAAATAGGTTCAATCATGGTTGCTATTATTATTCACTCGAAATTAATGCTTTGATAATAATTAAATTGAGTCAAAAATTCGAACTGTAGGAAAGTAAACACTGAAAATTAAAAAAAATTTTAATACAACAATTGCAACTATTTTCCACCAAGTTTCAGCCAATATTGAACTAATTCTGAAGGATAATATAAATTAATCAATATTAGACACAATTACAAAAATATTTTGCCAATGTTCAGTGACAATGTTACTTGATTTATTGTACCATTATTGTTTTATCAGTCTTGGGTGAATATTGGGCCAATATTGGGAAACAATTTTAATCAATCAATTGCATTTTTAATTTTTTAAATTTGGGGAATTGATTCCGATATTAGGTTATTAATGAAAATTTATCAATTTTAGTTTGTCTTATCAATCTTGGGTGAAAGTTGGGCCAATATTGGGTAACAATTTTATCCAATCAATTTGCATTTTTAAAATTTGGGAAATTGATATCGACACTAGGTTATCAAAATTGTAGTTTGTGTTATTAATAAAAATTCATCAATTTTAGTTTGTCTTATCAATCTTGGGTGAATGTTGGGCCAATATTGGGTAACAATTTTATTCAATCAATTGCATTTTTAATTTTCAAAATTTAGGGAATTGATGTCGACACTAGGTTATCAAAATTGTAGTTTGTCTTATCAATCTTGGGTGAATGTTGGGCGAATATTGGGTAACAATTTTATTCAATAATTTGTATTTTTAATTTTTAAAATTTGGGGAATTTATGCCGATACTTGGTTATTAATGAAAATTTATCAATTGTATCTTATCAATCTTGGGTGAAAGTTGGGACAATATTGGGTAACAATTTTATTCAATCAATTGCATTTTAAATTTAAAAAATTTTGTGAATTGATGTCGACACTGGTTATTAATAAAAATTCATCAATTTTAATTTGTCTTATCAATCTTGGGTGAATGTTGGGCCAATATTGGGTAACAATTTTATTCAATCAATTGCATTTTTAATTTTCAAAATTTGGGGAATTGATGTCGACACTAGGTTATCAAAACTGTAGTTTGTCTTATCAATCTTGGGTGAATGTTGGCTGTATCCTGGCCGTTAATATTTTGTAATTAATTGAATAATAATAATAATAATAATACAAAATAATAATGAAAATAATAATAATTATTATTATTTTTATTGTTATTATTATTTTGTTAATAAGGTGAAAGTGGATGGATGTTAAGATTAAAGCATTGAATGTATGCGTCTTGATGAAATCCGGAACAGGGCAGATCGTTTGGTGCGAGATACTTCCGGTTAACGGCATTGGTAACCAGACGCTTCTCTCTCCTTCTCTCTCACCCCCAGCCAGCGCGGCCAGCTCGCTCATTCAAGCTCTATCCGAGTCGACTTGATTCAGTCGCGGTCGAACCGCCACACAGCGAGCTTTCGTTGATTTATACACCTTTGATGCAAAGCTTTCGCGGGGCTGCAAAAGCTTTCGGTTTTCACATACACACACACAAATAAAAAAAAAGTTACAGTGAATCGACAATCAATTCCCTGCCTCGTTTCTATATTTGATGTTTTCAGATTTAAAAATGGATTTAAAAATATTTCAATTTTGAGCATCTTTCAAAAAAAAAAAAATATTAAAGATTCAAATATATATATATATATTTCTCCAAATAAACAAAAATCAAAAATTAATTTCTACATCAATGTAACATCAAAAAAAAAGGAAGTAATTACAATTTTTGCCCAGTGATAGTGTCAGTGATTTAAATTAAAAAATTACCAAAAAAAAATTTTTTTCTTTTCTTTTTAAAAAAAGTGGGGAAAAAAAATTTCATTTGAAGTAGGAAGTACACTGTACAGTGAAAAAAAATTTCTTTGAGAGAAATTCTAGTGCAAAAAAAAAAGAAAGGAAATTTTTTTTTTATTTTTTTTTTTTTTGTGGATAGGGAAACTCAATTGAACAAAAAAAAAAAGGAATTCTTTCTATAGGGAGAATTTGATTAAGAAGCAAAAAAATTTCATTGCGCAAAGGGAAATTCAATCGGAGAAAAAAGGAGAAAATTTTTTTCGAAACAAAAAAACCCTAAAAGAGTTTATTACAAATAGAAAAATTGGAGATGTTTAATTAAAAAAAAAAAAAAAAAAAACTTGAATAAAAATGCCCTAAAAGAAAATTTTCTTGTGAATATAGTGTTTTTGTGAAGAAAAAAAAGTGATTTGCAAAAAAAAAAAATTGAAAAAAAAATAACGTGATTTTTCCAGTATTGTATACTGGAGTTCAATGAGGCATTCTCGTGTGGTTTGGTTATCCAAATGGGATAGATTTTTTCCTTGTACACGACGCAAGAGAAGGCATGATTGTTCCGTGCAAGTGTTCAACTAAGATATCGTGTGATAATGCGATATCAAAAATTCAATTATTATTATTTAATAAAAAAAATTTAAATTTCAAAAATTGTGAGCGTTCAATAATAATAATAATAATAACAAGTGTATGGTGTGAACACTGCATTTATATTGTGAGGAAAATCTCGCGAAAGAGATTGACTTTTTGCAATATCGACAGTCATAAGAAAAAATCAAGTAAAAGAAAGAAAGAAAGAAGAATTGCAGTGAAAGATAATTTCTTTTTCAGATAAAAATTTGAACTGAACACCGACTGTCAATATAGTAAGTGTATAATGTCAGTTTTTTTTCTGCCAAAAATTTATTTCCCTGGCATTTTTTTAACACTATTTTTTCTCAATTTTTTCTCAACTTTTTTCAATATTTTAAAAAAATTATTTGAAAATTTATTTGGAGACGATTATATTTTTATTAGGTACATTATTATATTTTATTTCATTATTTATTTGATAATTAGAGGATAAATTAATCGGTAATTTATGCAAAATTAAATATGTTAAAATTTGAATTACATAAAATTTTTGTTTAAATAAAGTCATAAAATAGTTTTGTGAAATAAAATAAAATTTTTTTTTTTATTTTTTTTTTTAGTGTACTCTTGATTGAACTTGGCATTAAGAGTAAATAATTTTACGACATTTACACGTGCTGTACAATTATTTATTTTTAGTATTCATAATATTTACAACATTCCAATATAATTATATGTTTATGATTTTTAAATGTTAAAATCAATTTTAATATTCGTAGAATATCAAAGAATAAAGCAGTAAACTCTTGATAAGCGGCACCAACATTATCCCACTTAACGAGAGTTTATTTTTTTACTATTATTTACGAGTATTTTGCCAATATTTTTATTTTATTTTTCAATTATAAATTCATAATAATTTATAATAATATTATATAATTTATAATAATATAATTAATAATAGCCATTATTATTATTATTGTTTTGATTATTTTTAAAAATATTTGCATTTTTCTCAAATTTTTGGAAAGTAAAAAAAATTTTCTTTTCATCACTTATAGAAAAAAAAATTCTACATTATTTATTATTACTCCCCCCCCCCCCAAAAAAAAAACATGAATATATTCTTATAAAAGTTTCCAAAATATCTACAATTTTGATGAAGAATTCTTAGATACAAAAAAAGAAAAAAAAAAAAAAGTTTAAGAAAAATCAGGGTCAGCTTTTATTCTTTTATGAAAAATGACTGATACTTAGTAGTGCCCTTGAGACTAAGAATCTGTACATATATATATATTTTTTTCTTTGAAAAAAAGTTTCACGAAAGGTTAAAAGTTTTCTTCCATTTGTGAAATTCGTCAAAAAAAAGAAGAAAAAAATTCTCGCAGAAAACATGCGAATATAAAACTTTATTTTATTCATTCATAATGGTTCATATTTAAATATATCGATTGTTATCAAAAAAAAAGTAATCTCTTGTAAAAAAATGTTTGGTCCAGTTCCAAGAGAATTTCATCAAAAAAAAAAAAAAAGCTGTCAAGATGATTTTTTTCTGTTTTTCTAAAGCTGTGTGTGTGTGATTCATTTTGTTTTCCATTTTGACGAAATGTTTCATTCATCAAACTAATTAGTCTGTCGAATGCTTTTTTTTTTGTTTGCTAATTATTCATTTCAACATTTTCACACTATTTTCTTTACAAAGAAAAATGTAGAAAAAAAAATATTCTAAAGATTGGCAGTTTGTTTGTTTTTTTTTTAATTTTTTGAAAACAACATTTTTTTTCAAGAGAAAAATTAATTTTAATTTTTTTTTTAATTTAGAAAATTATTTTGACAGTTATTATTTTTACAGAAAATTCTATTTTCAAAAAGTAAATTTTGTAAAAAAAATTCTTTTTTTTGTTTATGAAAAAAGGTTTTTATTAATAATTAGTAATTAGATTGATTGATTTTGAGGTATGGAAAAAAACATTTTATGACAAGTGTAAAAAAACAAATTTTTTTTTTTAAAAGGACGATGGGGTAAAGCTCTCATCTCTGATAGCAAGTAAGCTGAAATTATATCACAGTAGAGAAAATCCGCTGTACTAGAATTAAAACTTAACCGTAGGGATTACAGCTCTTTCTCCCTCTCTCTCTCTCTCTCCCTCAACCAATCTTCCTTGGCTGCCGTTAAATTTAACGTCGTTACGTTAGTGGTAATTTGAAATTATGCGATGCCTCGGGTTAGAAGGTGACTCTTCGTTAAACTTCACATCCTTTGCGGTCAATTAAACTTTTGAATTATCTTTTTGAAATAATCTTAAAAGCCTCTTAAACATTAATTAATTATTTGATAAATCCGCGACATCATCTCTCTCTCTCTCTCACTCTCATGAGTTTTATATTATGTTAATCTCCCTCGCGACTCTCTGACAAAAGTATTGTTCATTTTTTTTTATAGCAAAAAATATTTAACATAATGAAAGAATTATATATATATATATATACAACTGATAACATTGTATGTCATTAAAAATTTGTTTTTATAATAAGAAAACTATAGTTTTTTTTTTTCAAATGAACATTGATAGTAGAGAGTTGTAATTGTCTAATTAAAAACGTGAAAGAAACAATTCGAGATAATGAAATAACGTTTAAAGAAATAGTTTAATTTAAATTGTTTGTTGTTGTGTGAATAATGAATGCGCATTAAGGCAAATATATACACGTCAAACTCAACACTTTTGTCAGACATTATTTGTGTTATCACTGGTTAAAGGAAAAAAAATTTTTTTTTTTTTTAAAAAGACGTTTTCTTAAGAAAATTGCAAAATAAAAATTTTTTAAATACAATTTATACTCGCGCGCTTTTTTTTTTTTTCCTTTATTGAGAGAGATTTGTAAAGTTGAAATTGTTCTTTTTTTCTTATTTCTATAGCCATGGCTTAGAATTAGATTAAAGCAGATTAAGTGCGGACAATTTTTCCACTCTGGAAATTACATTTAACGTTAAATTTTAATGTCCATTGTTTATAATGATTTTTTTTTTATTTCTAAAACGTGTTTTCGAAATGTTTGAATTTTTAATTTTTAATACAATTTAGAAATCGTTTGTTTTTTTGTTGTCGTATTTTTTTTCTTTTCATAGAAAACGAAAATTTTTGAATACATGTTTTACTTTATATAACAACATATAAAGTTTTTTTTACAAAAAAATTTTTACATTTTACAAAATTTTCTACAAAGAGAAATATTTTGCCTTTTATATTAATTATTTTTGCTAGAAATAATAATAAATGTTATAAAATTATTTTATTATAAAATTAAAATTACCTTTAAAATTTGAATAAATAAATAATTAAATTAAAATTTGAATTTCAAATAATAATAATAATAATAATAAAAACAAGTTAGTTATTGTGTTTGACAATGATAAAATATAAGACAGTTTATTTTTCAAGGCTGATAATATTTAAGCATCAGAAAATCTCTGGGGTGAAACAAAATATGGCGCAAAGATTCGCGAGTAAACTTGTCCTCGTCACTAGAGACTTCATTATTTTGTGATATTTTCATATAAATATATTCTAATATTTATTTTTCAAACTATAAATACAAATTTTCAAGTTTATATTAAATATCAAAAATTGAAAAAAAGGGTAAATTTTTTTTTTCATTTCATATAATAGATAATAAAATCAGAAAAGTAGTTTTTCAATTTTTGAAAATTTTCTATATAACAAAATTTTAAACACAAAATTCAAAATACAATTTTATTATATATGTAAATTTTCTATGTAAAGTGAAATATTATAAATCACGTTATTTCATTGTTTGCGCATCGTAGCTAAAACAAGAAAAACTTTTGTAAACTATTTTTTTAATGAAATTTTTCCAACGCAAATTATTTTTATATTTATATATTATTTTTTCTCTAAAGAAATAAATGCAAAATTAGTGAATCGTAATAAAATTGAATTATTAGGCACTCTTTGAATAACATTATTTTTTAATTTAGAAAAGAATTTCCTTTTTTAAACAAAAGTACATAATATTAATATTTTGAAAAAGAGAAAGAAAAAATTAATTAAAATTTATAATTGAATTTTTGAACAATATTTTTATTTGCGAGTAAATATATTTGAGAATGTAAAATATTTATACTACTTTATATTTTTAAATGTGCAATATATTTTATTGGATTTTATTTATTTTTCTTTTGTATATATATATTTTTCTTTTTATTGAAATATTGTTTTATCTCGGGAATTATATTATGAAAGTATAGAAACCAGTCGAGCACTTCCCGGTGTCTTTGTGACAGAACTTATCTAAACAAGCATTGACCTGAAAACGCGTTTTGCAAAGGTTTGCCGTACACATGCGATTACGATGAACTGATAAGTAGACATAGTTATGAATCTCACTTCGAGTTTTACCTAATAATGAAAAAAAAGAAAGTGAAATCATTTGAATTTAAGAGAATTAATTATATTTTCAATATAAATAAATGAAAATAATTTTTTACTAAAATGAACTTAACCCTTTGAGGGCATAGTGACACTCCTGAGTGTCACCTTTTTTCTTGCACTTTTTTTTGAATACTTTAGCCACTATTTTACACATTTCAGTAACAAAAATGTATTTAAAATGTATTTTAGAATATATCTATTACAATATATAACTACATTAAAAAAGTGTTTTTTATAAATAAAATAAATGTTATAAACAAATTAAGTTTAAAAATAGCGTTTTTTTTTACAATAAATGTAATTGTGACTAAACAACAATATAGGAAATAACCTAACAATAATGTCAATAAAGTTTTCGGGGTCGCTGCTTACGAATCTGGCATTAGATTTTCAAAATTAAAAATGGCGGATCCAATATGGCGGATGACAAAATGAAAAATTGATCGGATTTCCTTGAAACTTGTAACTCGTGGGTTTTTGGGGGCGCTGATTACGAATATGACGTTAGATTTTCAAAATTCAAAATGGCGGATCCAATATGGCGGATGAGAAAATGGGTTTTTGGGTCCCTCGTTACGAATATGATGTTGGATTATCAAAATTCAAAATGGCGGATCCAATATGGCGGATGACAAAATGAAGAATTGATCGGATTTGCTTAAAACTTGTTATTCGGGGGTTTTTAAGGTCGCTGATTACGAATATGACGTTGGACTTTCAAAATTCAAAATGGCGGATGACAAAATGAAAAATTGATCGGATTTGCTTGAAACTTGTTACTACGGTGTTTTTGATGTCGCTGTTTATGAATATGACTTTGGATTTTTATAATTCAAAAT